TTAAAAACAGTTGCGAGGAGTAAACCACAACTAGATAATACAGGAAGATGCTAGTCACCTACAGACAAGGCAGGCAGAACAGGCGACTGGAATCCAGAAAGCAGCAACTCTGGAAGGATTTAGGAGGGAACAGGTGAGCACCTGGGTGTGAACTGCCACTGCCCTGTGCAAGAAGATCCTCCATAATACATGGCTCATGAGCTACTTGTTTACTATTTGAGTACCTCACAGGGGAAGAGATACAGCAATACTGCCCGGAATCACTTGCCATGTTAAGAGTACAAAAATTTTGTTGCATTGGGTGTATGTGACACAACTTGTGCGGTTACAGGCCTGGCTTCTGTGACAAGTCCCCAGAAGCTGCCCCTAAGTTGGAAGGAGACAGTTCTAGTTGGCTTCAAGATGAACATGCCAGTGACCAAAGCTGAGCCCATCAGCAGCACTGGTAGCTCCTCTATGATAATCTGGTTAAGCAAGGGTAAAAATTGCTGCACAGCAACAACTAGGAGAGAGGAGTGAGAATATGTGAGAGAGACAACTCTGCACACACCTAGGTCAGTGGAGAAGGAGGGGGAGGAGGTGCTCCAGGTCCCACTGTGAAGATTCCCCTGCAGCCCCTGGTGAAGACCATAGTGAGACAGGCTGTTCCTCTGCAGCCCATAGAGGTCTACGAAAATTACTGTAATTCAAGTTAGCCACCCTCTCAATACTGCAGGTGGATTAATCTCTTTTACCTAAAAAGTAGATGTTTAGTCAAATGGGATGAATCAACTCACCTTTGGCTATTAAGACAGCTTATGAAGTGTCTACCTTTTAAATAAATAATTTGAAATAATTTATTCTTAATGTTAAAACAATAATAAAAGAAGGCTAAATTAACAAAATGTTTGAGCAGGTGTGGATGCAGAATTTGTGCTTTCAAATACATAAATCACAGAACGGGTTGGGTTGAAAGCGACCTTGAAGATCATCTAGTTCCAGCTTCCCTGCCATGGGCAGGAACACCTCACACTAGACCAGGTTGCTCAAAGCTCCATTGAGTCTGGCCTCAAGCATTTCCAGGGAGGGGGCAGCCACAACTTCTCTGGGCAACCTCTTCCAGTGACTCAACCCCCCACAGTAAAGAATTTCATCTTAATATCTAATAAAAATCTACCCTATTTTAGTTTGAAACCACTACTTCTTGTCCTGTCATTACATGCTCTCGTAAAAAGTCCCTCCCCAGCTTTCCTCTAGGCCCCTTTTAATTCGTCTTGTTTTGTCCAGTGTTTTTTAGGTCTTTCAGAGAGTTGCATGGTGTTTTGAGAAGCTGAGGAATCATAGACCTCTGAACACGTCAGATCAGACAGGTCTGTTCCTCCCTGGGGATAGCCATGTGGCAAGAAGGCTTGGGTTTGTGATTAGACCTGAAATGTGAAATCCTCAAATATCTTCCTTAGCAAAGGTATGAATTGACACACCACTGTATGTATCCCACTGGTGAGACAAGTGCCTGAGCAGGCATAGAAGAGAATTCTACAATGAGATTATGGAAGAAATTGAGATTGTTTAGGAAGGATTTATGCACAGCTAAAAGGGTCAGATTTCCACCTACCTCCAACACCTTGTCAGCCACAGAGAGGTAGCATGTGCCCTGGCAGCATGAAGCTTAACGTGGCCAAACTTCTTACTGAAATTGCAGGTCTTGTTTGCCTCACCCTTCCTTGTCATAAGAATGCAAGTTTGCCTGTTTCAAGCCAGCTCAGGCTGTGGCTTCTGCTTAAGTCATCTGATGAGTTCACCACGTTGACAAGCAAACAAAGAGTCCTGGAGCTCACACAAGGGCAGACACAGCTGGAGAAGCTGCTTAATCTAACACTACTACCACAGCCTAAAACTTTATCAGTACTGGGCTGCACTCCTAACAGTAAGTGGACCTTACCTGAAGAAACTAATAAAACAACTGGCAGCAAAACCTCCCTGCTTAGCTATATCTGGCAATTACAGCAGATGCCACTACAATTTGAGCTATTTGGTTTCAAAATGAGCATAACTATATATAGTGAATCCCATGATGAGTTAAAGAATAGTACTCAAGTCTTAAAAACAGTTGCGAGGAGTAAACCACAACTAGATAATACAGGAAGATGCTAGTCACCTACAGACAAGGCAGGCAGAACAGGCGACTGGAATCCAGAAAGCAGCAACTCTGGAAGGATTTAGGAGGGAACAGGTGAGCACCTGGGTGTGAACTGCCACTGCCCTGTGCAAGAAGATCCTCCATAATACATGGCTCATGAGCTACTTGTTTACTATTTGAGTACCTCACAGGGGAAGAGATACAGCAATACTGCCCGGAATCACTTGCCATGTTAAGAGTACAAAAATTTTGTTGCATTGGGTGTATGTGACACAACTTGTGCGGTTACAGGCCTGGCTTCTGTGACAAGTCCCCAGAAGCTGCCCCTAAGTTGGAAGGAGACAGTTCTAGTTGGCTTCAAGATGAACATGCCAGTGACCAAAGCTGAGCCCATCAGCAGCACTGGTAGCTCCTCTATGATAATCTGGTTAAGCAAGGGTAAAAATTGCTGCACAGCAACAACTAGGAGAGAGGAGTGAGAATATGTGAGAGAGACAACTCTGCACACACCTAGGTCAGTGGAGAAGGAGGGGGAGGAGGTGCTCCAGGTCCCACTGTGAAGATTCCCCTGCAGCCCCTGGTGAAGACCATAGTGAGACAGGCTGTTCCTCTGCAGCCCATAGAGGTCCATGGAAGCAGATACCCACCTGCAGCAGGCAGAGGACCCCATGCCAGAGTAGGTGGATGCCTGAAGGAGGCTGTGATCCTGTGGGAAGCCTCTGCTGAAGCAGGGTTCTTGCAGGACCTGTGGATCTGTGGAGAGAGGAACCCCCACAGGTTTGCTGGTAGGACTTGTGACCCCATGGGGGACTCACACTGAAGCAGTCTGATCCTGCAGGACTGCATCCCGTGGAAGGGACCCACACTGGAGCAGTTAATGAAAAACGGCAGCCCATGGGAGCGACTCACAACAGAGAAGTTTGTGGATGTCTGTCTCCCGTGGGAGGGACCCCAGGCTGGAGCAGAGGAAGAGTGTGAGGAGTCCTTCCCCTGAGGAGGAAGCAATAGGAGAGACAACATGGGACAAACTGTCTGCAGCCCCCATTCCCCATCCCCCTGTGCTGCTGGAGGGGAGGAGGTTAGAGAAAAATCAGGAGTTAAGTTGATCTTGGGAAGAAGGGGGATGGTGGTGGTGACAGGTTTTTTCATATTTGGGTTTATTTTACATGATCATAATCTATTATTAATATGCAATAAATTTACATTTCCCTAAATTGAGTCTGTTTTGCCTGTGACAGTACCAGGCAGGTGACCTCCTTGTCCTGATCTTGATCCATGAGCTTTTTCATAATTTTCTCCCCTGTCCTGTTGATGGAGACTGACAGAGCAGCAGGGTGGGCACCTGGTGACCAGCCAGGGTCAACCCACTACCTTGACAGCAGGCGAAAAAGGAACTAAAAATTATCCTGCTAATATTCATAAAATGTTAGAAAGCTGAACAGCACCTTGCATTAGCAGATGTAGACAGTTCAGCCTGTCCAATTAATCAAAAACACGTGATAATTGATTAAAACATGCAATGGATATAAATTTTCCTTTGAGGAAGAAAATACCAGGTAAGATAATTAATTTTACTTCTTATTTTTTGATAAAGAACCGAATCAGATGACTGGAATATGAAACCACAGACGACATGTTACAGTCCTGACGCTCCAGGGAAGGTGTCCCTCAGCTGATGGAGGCGTGCAGGGCATTCACCTCTTGCCGTCATATCCCTAAGCGTAGGCAACCCCACGAAAGCCGCGCCAGGCAGGCGGGCACACCGGCCTGCTGCCCTCAGGGCCGGCTGGGTAACACCAAGGCGGCCCCTGCCCCGCCAGAACGACGAGAACCTCAGTATTTCTGGTCTTTCTCCAAGAACCAAGGGAGAAGCGCGGGGGGACGTGCCCGGAGCGCCTGCAGGACAGGCCGGGGCGGAGCCTCCTGCCGCCGGGCCCTGCGCTCCC